AGTATACGGACTAATCAAATACTTATTCAGCGTCTTGAAATGAGATCTTTGATTCTATTATTCCTAAGGGTGATTGGGAATGTGGTACGCCCAACTGATATTTTACGTAAAATAACTACTTTTATCGTGATGAATTTGATTTTTGTGAGTATAACTCGAGGTGGCCAAGGATATCACTGACATGAACTCTTGTTGCGTTAATTAAAGTTCTATATCATAAACGACTAAATAGTTTCTCCTTCTCTCGTGAAACCAACTAGAAGAAGTTTCTAATTTTAGCTAGTCCTAGAGAAAAATTAGAACACGGGTTTAGTGTTTGTATATTCCTTCAATAGGCTTACAAAACATCCTCTTTAAGATTTAGGTTGGCCGGATATTAAAACAATGAAAGGGGATTACACAACATTTTGGATTATACGACTTTCGCTAGGTAAACGAATACTGCACTACAATTCGTTTTCAACAACATTCTGCATGTCTGATGTAAATGTGGAGCATGAAACTCTTATATAACGTTGCGAATAAGTTTTGAGATAAATTTTGACCCCATAAATCATAATATAATAACACCAGTTATAGAACTTGCTGGTGATACTAAGATGTGTGTATAACATAAAAACTAAGGACTACTTATTTGACAGAATAATCATGTGTACAATAACATGTTAGTGACCCGATCGAATTACGTACAACTAGCGTAGGGATAAGCAACTTTCCTTTAACAATGATAGCAACAATAAACACAATGTACTAAAATTGTATGCAGTACTCAAGTATTTGGAAGTGAGTGCCGCTGACAAAGATTACTCTCAGTGACGATCTAATGGCTCACTATGTTCTGTGGGGCGTGGTTTTGTTGTTATGGCCATGGCAGGATAGGTTATGGGTTCTATGGGGGTGCCCCTGAGCTCGATGTTGTTGGTACTGTGTGAGGTATTTTGTGTGTACTTCAAAGATTAGTTAGTCTTCTATCTAGGGTTTGCCTGTGGGATGGAAAGGTTAGTTGTAAGGTACGATAGTGCAAACTGAATTTTTGGGACGTAAATCTCCAGCAAACGAAGTAGTATTGAATGTACTAATGTTTGACCTGTAGATTTTTGTTGCTGTACACACAAAACTATCAGATAATTGATCAACTAATTATTAGAATAATTTGGTGTTAAACTTTCTGACACATCTATAATCACCTGTCGTTTTATGTGATAGTGAATCACCAACTATCACCTGCTTTCAAACACCAGGAATAAATGGCTGTTATATCTGCAATAAAACTTTTGAAAGTACAAGAAATTTGTCTGGCATGTATAGATATTGTGCAAAACAATCAAACAGGCAATCATTATTGGCAAACAATAACACTTCATAACAACTTCATTGAAAAAGTTACAGATTACTGGTTTTTTAAGAGTATCATTATTACTCTCTACTTTTCCTTGCAGCCTCCTTCCCAGATAAGTATTCTTAATTTTGTTAGTGTTTGAGTAATAATCCAATATTGTATACATCGGTTTCCCACTTCTTACTAATACCTGACTTCTACCTTCTTTCACCCCCCCTACAATTTACTATTTATTTACATCACCTTGGGATTCTGCATACAGTGATACTTCACAATACTCGTACTAGATCTTCAAAGCACACCGTTTGGAAAACCCCGGTATTAGGAGGGAGAGCGATAAAGTTCGACCGTGGTGTAGTTTAGAAGAGTGTTTGTATCGAAAGGCTAAGTTAGCGATTGGACAAACCAAAGAGAACAATGTTGCAGGATCTGAAATTCGTAGAGAAGATATTGATCAGTTTCAATTCGAGAAAAAGACGATATAAACACATAATTTGTCTCGCTAAATTACTTCATTGAAAAAAGATGACCCAGCATATTCCGTTTTGCCCGATAGAGCAACCCCCACCCCCCGCCTCCCAGCTGGCACCCAGCACTTTTCCACGCAGAAGCCGACAGATCCCGCCTCTACAACCAACTTTTTTAGCCCCGTTTCCACCCACTTTTGCCCTCAAGCAACCACATACAGGTAATCTGCGAGGACACCACTCCTGCCAACCCACAAACCCAACAAAAATCCGCCGCAGCCTCACCACCCCCCCTTCGCTCCCCCATTACGACCCATCTCCTTCACCCACTTTAAAGCCAAAGCCGAACGATTTAGCTGTCCCCAGACCCCCCTCTCATCCCCCGTCGCTTTCCCGCCCCCCATCCCCCCTACCCCGCAACACCCCAATCCCACTCAGGCACACCCCCTCCACGCACACCCCCGCGAGCGCCTTTTCTCCCCCCACATCACCCCCCCCCACCCCCCCGCCCCCCCCGCCACGCCCCCCCGCCACGCCGGGCGAAGTGACCCCGGGCAGGCCCCACCGAACGGCCGCGGGGGGTATTGGCTACGCTGTCTTGGCCCGTGGTAGAGAACCATGCACACCCAGCCGCCCCACCGGCACCACACAACCTTAGCCTGACCACCAGCCGCGTTGGCCCCGTCCTTTCCCCCCCATATTGCCCCATAATAACATCCTCCCTACCTTGCACAACATACCCC